CTCCAGGCCTGGCCGCACCAGCCCCGCCTGCTCCCCCGGGCCTGGCCGCTCCCAGCCTGGCAGCCGCTGCTCCGGGCCTGGCCGCACCAGCCCCGCCTGCTCCCCCGGGCCTGGCCGCTCCCAGCCTGGCAGCCGCTGCTCCGGGCCTGGCCGCACCCGACCCGCCTGCTCCCCCGGGCCTGGCCGCTCCCAGCCTGGCAGCCGCTGCTCCGGGCCTGGCCGCACCCGACCCGCCTGCTCCCCCGGGCCTGGCCGCTCCCAGCCTGGCAGCCGCTGCTCCGGGCCTGGCCGCACCAGCCCCGCCTGCTCCCCCGGGCCTGGCCGCTCCCAGCCTGGCAGCCGCTGCTCCGGGCCTGGCCGCACCCGACCCGGCTGCTCCCCCGGGCCTGGCCGCTCCCAGCCTGGCAGCCGCTGCTCCGGGCCTGGCCGCACCAGCCCCGCCTGCTCCCCCGGGCCTGGCCGCTCCCAGCCTGGCAGCCGCTGCTCCGGGCCTGGCCGCACCCGACCCGCCTGCTCCCCCGGGCCTGGCCGCTCCCAGCCTGGCAGCCGCTGCTCCGGGCCTGGCCGCACCAGCCCCGCCTGCTCCCCCGGGCCTGGCCGCTCCCAGCCTGGCAGCCGCTGCTCCGGGCCTGGCCGCACCAGCCCCGCCTGCTCCCCCGGGCCTGGCCGCTCCCAGCCTGGCAGCCGCTGCTCCGGGCCTGGCCGCACCCGACCCGCCTGCTCCCCCGGGCCTGGCCGCTCCCAGCCTGGCAGCCGCTGCTCCGGGCCTGGCCGCACCAGCCCCGCCTGCTCCCCCGGGCCTGGCCGCTCCCAGCCTGGCAGCCGCTGCTCCGGGCCTGGCCGCACCAGCCCCGCCTGCTCCCCCGGGCCTGGCCGCTCCCAGCCTGGCAGCCGCTGCTCCGGGCCTGGCCGCACCAGCCCCGCCTGCTCCCCCGGGCCTGGCCGCTCCCAGCCTGGCAGCCGCTGCTCCGGGCCTGGCCGCACCAGCCCCGCCTGCTCCCCCGGGCCTGGCCGCTCCCAGCCTGGCAGCCGCTGCTCCGGGCCTGGCCGCACCAGCCCCGCCTGCTCCCCCGGGCCTGGCCGCTCCCAGCCTGGCAGCCGCTGCTCCGGGCCTGGCCGCACCCGACCCGCCTGCTCCCCCGGGCCTGGCCGCTCCCAGCCTGGCAGCCGCTGCTCCGGGCCTGGCCGCACCCGACCCGCCTGCTCCCCCGGGCCTGGCCTCTCCCAGCCTGGCAGCCGCTGCTCCGGGCCTGGCCGCACCCGACCCGGCTGCTCCCCCGGGTCTGGCCGCTCCCAGCCTGGCAGCCGCTGCTCCGGGCCTGGCCGCACCAGCCCCGCCTGCTCCCCCGGGCCTGGCCGCTCCCAGCCTGGCAGCCGCTGCTCCGGGCCTGGCCGCACCAGCCCCGCCTGCTCCCCCGGGCCTGGCCGCTCCCAGCCTGGCAGCCGCTGCTCCGGGCCTGGCCGCACCAGCCCCGCCTGCTCCCCCGGGCCTGGCCGCTCCCAGCCTGGCAGCCGCTGCTCCGGGCCTGGCCGCACCCGACCCGCCTGCTCCCCCGGGCCTGGCCGCTCCCAGCCTGGCAGCCGCTGCTCCGGGCCTGGCCGCACCCGACCCGCCTGCTCCCCCGGGCCTGGCCGCTCCCAGCCTGGCAGCCGCTGCTACGGGCCTGGCCGCACCCGACCCGCCTGCTCCCCCGGGCCTGGCCGCTCCCAGCCTGGCAGCCGCTGCTCCGGGCCTGGCCGCACCCGACCCGCCTGCTCCCCCGGGCCTGGCCGCTCCCAGCCTGGCAGCCGCTGCTCCGGGCCTGGCCGCACCCGACCCGCCTGCTCCCCCGGGCCTGGCCGCTCCCAGCCTGGCAGCCGCTGCTCCGGGCCTGGCCGCACCCGACCCGCCTGCTCCCATGGGCCTGGCCGCTCCCAGCCTGGCAGCTGCTGCTCTGGGCCTGGCCGCACCTGACCCGGCTGCTCTGGGCCCGGCTGCCCCGGGCCCGGCCGCTCCGAGCCTGGCCACTCCCGACCTGGATGCTCTGGGCTTGGCTACTGCTGTTCTGGGTCTGGCTGCTCCCACCCCGGCTGCTCTGGGCCCGGGTTCTTTGGGCCCGGCCACTCCGGGTCTGGGTGTTCCTGGACTGGCCACCCTGGGCTTGGCCGCCTCCGCCTCATGCCTGGCTGCCACTGCCCCAGGTCTGGCTACTCCAGTGCTGGCTGTTGATGCTCTGGTTCTGGCTGCTGTTGTTCTGGGGCCTGGCCGTTGCTGCTCTGGGTCTGGCTGCCACTGCCTTGTGCCTGGCCACTCTAGGCCTGGCCGTCGCTGTTCCAACATTCTGTCCTTTTTTTTTTCTTTTTAAAACGCATTTATGTTGCAATGTTGGCTGGTGAGTTGAGTTCTGACTTAGTCTTTGATTTTTCAAGATCTTCTTTGTATTCTTTCTTGAGTAATTTTACTATTTTTTGCTCTCACTTGATTTCTTCACATTGAGAACTTCTTTGGTTTCTTCCTCCTTGGCCTGGGAGCTCAGCAGGTTGGCCTGTGGCCCCCTTTGTTCTCCGCGGGCTCCTGTGCTGCTTCAGCCTGTTGCCGGGAAGGCGCCGCCCAGGAAGCAGCCACCGGCCTTGGCTCCATTGCCCGAGCTCAGTGGTCAAAGGCTCAGGGGCACCCACGCCCCCAGGGGCCCCGTGGCCCGCCTCCTTGCTGGTGCCCGGTTGGCTGGAGTCCGGCAGGGGCTTCCGCTCCCCTCCGCGTTCCCCCAGCCTAGAGCTTTTTTTTTCTCCTTCCTGCTAGGGAAGACCAGCATCAGAGTCAACAGACTGTCCTCTGCGCGCAGTTTGCGCGAGTCCCACAGGCTGTCCTCTGCGCGCAGTTTGCGCGAGTCCCGGGGGCCCGGCCTTTCGCCGCTCTCCCCGGACTCCACCTCACAGCCCCGTCTCCCTCTGCCTGAGCCTGGGTCCCCAGGGATTGGCCCAGAACTGGGGTTCGGAGCAGTCCGGACTGAGGCTCACCGCCGCCGGAGGCCTTGTTTCTTCCGGCTAGGGCAACCCAGCATCGGAGTCAACATTCAGTCCTCTGCGCGCATTGCGCGCGACTCCCGGGGCCCTGCCTTTCGCCGTTTTCCGCCTCACAGCCCCGTCTCCTCCCGCCGGAGCCTGGGTCCCCAGGGTCCGGCCCATAACTGGGGCTCAGCGCTGCCGGGTTCGGGGGGATTCAGCGCTGCCGGTTCGGGGGTTCAGCCCAGGGTGGAGGTTTTATTTCCTTCCTGCTAGGGAAGGAAAGGCGGCTCCCCGCCCTCTCCTCCTCTCCGGCTGCGACCTCTCCGTGCGCGCGTGCGGGCGGGCAGGCGCGCGCAGCATGTCTCCGTACCTTAGGCTTTTTTTCAGCTCCTCTGATTTTCTTTCTGGTTTTCTCTTTCCTTCTTGTTGTAGAAATTTCAGTCAGTCGACTACCTGTAGCTCTGGGCAATGTCCACTCTACATTTTAGTTGTATTCCATTGAAATTGTTGTGTGCTGCCGCGGCTAGATGTCTACCCGAGCAGCCATCTTGGATCCTCTCCCTCGGGTTACACCAGATTCAAGAAGTTTTACACTCTCACAAGTGAGCTTGCTTTATAGGGCATATTCAGGGTCACTCTCAGCTAGCAGGACCTTTAGCGGAAGGTAATGAGCTTGCGGATGGTCAAACGCAGGGCTGTTTCTCAGCCATCACTGATCCAGTCCAGGCAGCAAAAGCCTTACTAAGGATTATTAAATTTATTTAAGTGAGGGTGTGGGAAACATCAATGAGGAAAAGAGATAGAAACATCAATGGGAATCATTGATTGGCTGCCTCCTGCACGCAGCAACCTGGGCTTCTGCCCTTGAATGGAACTCGGGACCCTTCAGTGAGCAGGCCAATGCTCTATCCACTGAGCCAAACCAGCTTGGGCCATTGATTGTTTTTCCACTTATTTATGCATTCCTGGGTTGATGCTTCTATGTGCCCTGACCAGGTATGGAACCCACAACCTTGGCTATAGGAACGCACCACCTGAGCTACCTACCCCGCTAGGGCCGTGCTATGGTTCTTTTTCAAAAGGTTGTTTTCTTCTTCTAAACACCAAGCAAGAATTAACATAGGCGGGGAAAAATATTAAAAAAGTGATTTCTGAACTTCTTAAGACGCGTTAGGTTCTTTCGCCTTAGAAAGGAGGCAGGTTAGAAAAACACACAAAACAAACAAGTTGCAAATGACAATCGCATATGACAAGACCGGGCGCTGCCAAGGGAGAGATCCGGGCGGGCCTCCGCCGGCCGCGGCGGGGGTCAGGCCACTTTGCGCAACCTCCCGGGGGCGGGCCCGACCCGCGCCGGCCGCCGCCTTCCGCACCCGCCCAGCCCCAGCCGCCTGGTTCCGGCCCACGTGGCCGGCGCAGGCTCAAAGTCCAATGGTGCCTCGGGGCGTCGGCTGCCACACGGCGGCGGGAGTAACGAACAGGCCGGCCGCTCTCCGACTGCATGCACGCTTCCTCCCCAACCCTCCGGGGCCGCGCGAGACCAACTCCGCTCCCAATCACGGTTGCAGCTGACCCGGCGCGGTGCCGGAACCCCAGACGGAAACGTCCCACCCTCATCCCGCGAGAACTCAGAAAGGGAAAATGTTGGGCGGGCGACAGGGAACTGGCCAATGAGAGAGCGAGAAGGGCATGATGGGCGGCCCTCCGTGCTCCCTCCCCCTCCCCCTTTGAACCCCGCCCGGCAGCGGAGGTCCGGATCGCCGTCCGCCTGCCCCTCCCCTTTCCGCTCTCCCTCCCCTCCCGGCCCTGCTCTTCTCTTCCCGTCTGAGGTGGCGGCTGTTCCCCCTCCTCTGCAGCTCTGCGGTACCGCTCCTCCCGGCTTCCCTTTCTCCTGGGCCCGAGGCCGGCCTCAGCGCTGCCCCCGCGTCCGTCCTCAGGGTGGTCATAGAGCTCCTGGCCCCGAGTCATCCAGCGCCTTCTCCTTTCTCCGGGCTTCTGTCCGCGCCTGCCCCGCCATGAATGAGGAGTACGACGTGATCGTGCTGGGCACCGGCCTGACGGTGAGTGCTGTGGGTTTTGGGCGGCGCCGGCGCCCCGAAGACGGGGAAGGGCGTGCGGGCCTGGCGCGGGGGGGAAGGGACCTGGGGGCCGGCCCGCACGCCCCTTCTTCCGGGCCGCGTGAGTCGCGGCCTGCGCCGCAGGCTTTCCCTGTGGAGGGCACTCCCGTCGCCTTTCCGGGTCTGTGTGTGCAGGGGAGGCGGGACGGGGCGTCGGGCTGGGGGCGGGAGGCGCGTTCCGCCGCGTGTGAGTCTGCGGCCGCTGAAGGCCAAGTAGCTCCAGCTGTGGAAGGAAAGACCAGGAGATGCAAAAACTCACTCACGTTCGTGATTTGGCGACATGAAAAGTGGGTGGAAAATGAGTTTCACTCTGCTCCAAGAAGAGACCCCAAAAAGCCGGGTTTGGGGACTCGCCTTTCCACCTTCCTGACGGGCTGAGGGCCTCTCCCGAGTGGAGACGGAAAAGGCACCCACCCGTCGGGGTGGCGTGGGGGAGGGCGGGAGCCGCTCGCTCGCAGTTGCATTTCCTACTTAGCCCTCAGCCGCCGCCAGTCTTGAGCTGTCAACGCAAGGCACAAGGTTTCGTGACAAGTCCGGGGATAATTACCGTCTTGTCATTGTTCCATTTTAGTGAACCTTCGTTTTCTTATCCCTCTTCCCCCTCTCTAAATGAAGAGCATTATCCTTTTTTTTTTTTTTTAACCACCGTGCAATCCCACTTACTAGTACTGAGCATCGGTGGAATTGGAAGCGAGTTTTCTCCAAACTTTTCGATCAATATGCTTTCTCACTCGACCTTTGCCATTTTTTTCCTTTTGTGCGGTCTGTTCCATGCCTCCATTGTCTCTTACTTTATGAGAAATGACTGGTGGTGGATTGCTTAGAGGACAAGTTCTGTACTACTTTGCACTTTAGGAAGTTAGTAGTAACAACATAAGAGAATGCGAGACTAATGTGAATGGCAGTTGTTCCAAATACCATGGTAAATTTATTTTTTTCTGGGTGTCCGTCTGCTTAGAAACCTTTAATAGTATTCTGGGAAATAATACAGGCAGGTGAGTTGTATCTTGTACTTCTTTCTCTCCCATAAGAAAATGAAGACTTCATCTTGTAAAAGAAATCCATTTGAAGAAAGGGCCATTTTTATAATCAAACATTTTTTTGACTCGGCCGGTGTGGCTTGGTTTCTGGTTCAATTCTCCCTCGGCAGCCAATTGATGTTTCTCTCTCACATGGATATTTCTCCTTCTCTCCTTTCCTTAAAATCAATAAACAAATCCTTGGGTAAGGATTAAAAAAAAATTTTTTTTCTTTTTTAAATTTGAAAGTCTGACTTTGGGCTACATCATCTTAATAAGATGAACATTGATGTATATCATGTATATTCTAAAGAATCTGACCTCACAGATCCAAGTAATTTAATGTAACCCACCACTTTAAATTTGTTGAAATGTGTTCTCTCTCAGGATCAAATTAATATATATATTTTTTCAGGTAACACCCCAAATTAACTTTTAGATTTCTCTAGACAAGAGAAAACCTTAGAACTTTCATTTTGCTAATTTTTAGTAAGAGGTTGTTAGGAACCAGAATGGCATATATCTGGTCTGTCTTTTTTTTTGTTTGTAGTGATTTGTGGTGAGTGTTGAATACTTGTTTCTGAATGCTTCATTATGTTTGACCTGTCCAGAAATATACTTGTGACTGGCTCGAAAATGGTACCAAATAGATATAAGCTTACTTACAAAGCTGTTTATAGTCATTTTGAATGTGAGATATTAGGTTGAAATTCATTTTTGGTGGTGAGTTATTATAGAAGACTGTTAAGTTGCCTAAATGAATAGGCCAACCTACTGCAGGTCTTTTAAAGTGCCTATTTGGGATGTTGAATTAAGCTTAGTAGTAGTTTGTGATGATGGATCTTGCCCATTGGCAGCATATTGTAAGATCCAATTAGTTCCACTGTTTTTCCATGGTTATTGCTGGTCTTCAGATTTGCTCTTGATAAAGGTCACTTGAACGGGAACAAATGAGTGCAGATTTGTCATCTTGCCTGTTTTTTTGTTTTTTTTTTAAAAATATATTTTATTATTTTGTACAGAGAGGAAGGGAGAGAGATAGAGAGTTAGAAACATCAATGAGAGAGAGAGTCATCGACCAGCTGCCTCTTGCACACCCCCTACTGGGGATATGCCCGCAACCAAGGTACATGCCCTTGACCGGAATCGAATCCGGGACCTTTCAGTCCCCAAGCCGACGCTCTATCCATTGAGACAAACCGGTCTCAGCTCATCATGCCTGTTTCTGCATGCCTAATTCAGAACCATTACTTTGTATCAAAGTATGCAGTCTTACTGCACAACAACCAAGTTAAGATAATACATTTTGATATTCATTTAGGTTGTGATGAGTGGTAGATGCATATTTAACTATAAATCAGACCATTTTTTTTTTGTAATTTTATAGCTATAATGTACTAATCCCTATAAACCTTTCTAGATTGTTTTATGAGATGTTCTTTGAGAATTATATAAATTCAGAGCAATCACATTATTACCATTATTGATGGAAGCAGTGGTAAATGGGATGATTTTGGTAAGTCTTTTACCTTTATTTTTACTGATACAAGGACTTTGGTTACTTAATGTTAAATTAAGAGACCACCAAAGTTAAAAACCCTCAAATTAAAATTAACTTTGAGTATTTGGAGTGAACATGCCATTTACTTTTCTTAAGTTTTGGTTTATAAATATTTAATGCCTGAGATTTAAGAACCTAAAAACAAACACTCTCAGTTATGGGTACCAAATATTACATGATGCCAGCATATGAAGTATTTTTAGCTCATTTAACTTGATACTTTTAAAATAAAGTGTAAAAAACTGTTGGGAGTTTTTCTGTGTTGTCTAGTGTTGTCATTGTTTTGTTTTGGTTGTTAGAAAATAAGGTCATATTAATTCACAAATACTGATAGTAACTAATAAAGAACGTATAAAAGTATTTGGCATGAATTAGAGCAAAATTTTCATCTTCTGTTTAGGATAATTGGAATATTTTGTATAGTAATTGAATTTTTTAAGGAATTGAGAGGGTTATTATACCTTTAAAGAGCTACAACTTTTAGATAAAAGCCTTTCCAAATGATATCACAACTTCTTTAACGAACTGTGGGACATAATTTACTTGGTAACTAAGATTTCCCATCATGAGGATTAATTGTTGAGTTATGCTAGAACATAATAAGGCCACTGAGACCTAGTGAGGAACTTGGCCCTTCTTACTCCGTAGTCTGAGACTGCTTGGCTTTGTGAATTCTTCAGTCTACTTTTCATATTCCCCTTTGGCCACTTTTGCTGTTAGGCTGGAGACTTTTACTTTTCTTTTATTTCAGTTTGTATAGACAGTCTCTGACTACCTAATTTGCTACTTCTAATCGACTTTGGGCTTGGCAATAAATTCATGAATCTTCTTAAAAGTAGTAAATAAAATAAGGGTAACTAGCACCTCAGACTCTGACAGGAGGAAGATTTTCATATACATTTTACTAATTTTCTTTCACCTCTGATACTTTTATTATAGAGAAAGGGCAAATAGCAATATTAAAATATATCCTCTAATTAATTCCCTCTAATGTGTATAATCGGGCTACTAGTTATGTATAACAAATTATTGTAAAAATTATGTTACCATTTTTTTACAGAGAGAAAGGGAGAGAGATAGAGAGTTAGAAACATCGATGAGAAACATCGATTCAGTTGCTTCCTGCACACTCTCCACTGGGGATGTGTCTGCAACCAAGGTACATGCCCTTGATTGGAATTGAATCTGGGACCTTTCAGTCCACAGGCCAATGCTATATCCACTGAGTCAAACTGGTTAGGGCAAGTTATGAAATTTTTATTAATTTTTTTATATACTGTTATGTGCCCTTGACTGGCTAGGCTGCAAAAATATCATTGTGGGCCACATGCATCCCGTGGGCTGTGAGTTTGACATGCTTGGTGTAAGGTATATGATTAACCACCAAACTATACTCTGAAACCAATACAAAGTAAAATTGAAATTAAACTATCCTATATAATAAAAGGATGATATACAAGTCTACTGGACAGTGGAACAAACTTTTGCTGTGACGTGCACTGACTTCCAGGAGGCAGTCGCTCAATGCAGGAGCTGTCCAGTGGTGGTCAGTGCTCTCCCACAGGGTGAGCACTGCTCCACCAGAAGCTGGGCTTCATAGCTCATGGCTCACAGCTGGCAAGCACAGCAGCGGTGGTGAGAGCCTCTCCTGCCTCTGTTGCAGAACTAAGGATGTCTGACTGCGAGGAGTGGGCCTAAGCCATCAGTCAGACATCCCCTAAGGGCTCCTGAACTGCTAGAGGGCACAAGCCGGGCTGAGGACTCCCCCGAGTGCATGAATCTTGAATCTCATGCACCAGGCCTCTGGTAAAATATAGAGCTACCATATGATCCAGTTAAAAAATATAGGTGCATGCTGCCCCCACTTTTCACTGCTCAGTCTGTTGATATTGACAAATAAACCTTTAAGATTCTTTTAGCCGAAGCCGGTTTGGCTCAGTGGTAGAGCGTCGGTCTGCGGACTGAAAGGTCCCAGGTTCAATTCCGGTCAAGGGCACGTACATTGGTTGCAGGCACATCCCCGGTAGGGCGTGTGCAAGAGCCAGCTGGTTGATGTTTCTCTCTCATCGACATTTCTAGCTCTCTATCTCTCTCCCTTCCTCTCTGTAAAAAATCAATAAAATATATTAAAAAAGATTCTTTTAAAAAATGCAATAGAATTTAGCGTTTTAATGGTTATTTGGTTTATATGCTGGCTCTGTTCTCTTCCATGCCTAAGTTGATCTCTAAGTAGGAAGTGAGTGGCCATTAACTTCCATGATACTAGGGTACAATTTAATACCATTGGCTTTAGAAAACCATTCAGGCCACTTTAGTACATAAAAGGTACTGTGTCTTATGTGTTAGGCGCCCTCCAAATGAAT